TGTTCAATTACAATTGAATCTTGTAATCAGCAAGTTACTGAAATTAAAATAAAATTACTACATTAAAGAGAAGTCTCAGATTGATAAAATAAATCCATAAACTACATATTAAATTCTAGTCATAAATAGAATATAAATTTAGATGTAAAAGAAAAAAAATACCAGTCGCCGGCGTTCGCTTCCCATTTGCGGCGGACCCCGTCGAGTTGCTCCTCTACTGAATCGGTAGCGATCAGAGGGTTCGACCGTAGATGATGGGGAGGATCTTGTCGATTAGAGAAGAAAAAGAGAAAGAGGAAGAAGAGGAAGGAAAATCGAAAAAAGGAGAAAAGAAGAAGAATGAAGGAGAATCGAAAAAGGGGATAAAATCAAAAGGAAGGAAGTAGAATAAGAAGGAAAGAAAATCGGGGATAAAATAAAAGAGAGAAAGAACCGCTGGTCAGAAATAAAAATCTGCTCTAAATTAAATATTAATTATAAATAACCGCCATATATTTAAGAGCACAACATTGTCCATAAAAAAAAGGTATAAATGAAAACAGAAAAAGGCAATTTCATCTAAATAATAGGTGAGATTAGTTATGTGAAATTTCTAAAGAAACGGATAAGGGGTGTCCAATTCAAAGCCCAATAGACTATAGACAATAAAATAACATACATAAACAATGAGCCCATTTAACACACCGTCTCAAAATAGTCTTTTTGGGCTTGATTGTTTGTGAAATAATTTGTTCAAATTGAGTTATTTTAGTTAATCATAGTTAATTTTTAAAATGGTGGTATGGTTAGTTGTAGTAGAATTTTAATAATGAATTAAAATAATATTTAAAATAAAATAATTAAAATTAATTTGATGCAAAAGTAATAGACAAATAATTGGAAATGATATGTAGTTAAAATTATGTGAGTGGATGAATAGTGAATTAAAGTTGATGTGATGTGTAATAATAATTGGTTTGTATTATTTAATTATATGAATAATATTAAGGATAATAAAGTTGAGTTAAAGTTAAGTTAAATTTTGAGTTGAAATAAAAGTAAGTAAATTAATTTGTATACAAGCAAACCCTGAGCCCAATAGTCTTCTTCTTATCTTATAGACAATAACTTCAGATTTACGTTGGCTAACTAGAAGTCTCTACAATTTACAATTTATCGATGGGGTGCCTACGGTGACAGCACCTGCGCACCTGCGATGCACTTTTTTCCACTGTTGAATCATGTTACTTAACATGATCCAACGAGGGGAGGAGTGCACCGCAAGTAGGGGTGAGCGTGGGTCGGTACGATTCGAAGTGATTTCGGTTCGGTTTTCAGAACGGTTCGAAATTCTCCGAGTCCCATGCTCAACACTAACCGCAAGTACTGTTTAAAATTGCACAGCAGGCACCCCACTCAAGAATATGTGGTTGTAACAAAAGGGTAAATAAAACAAACAAGCTTAAAAAATAGTCTTGTTTGGCAGAAAAAAAAAAAAAATGGAGGAAAAGGGAAGAGTTTGTGTAACTGGAGGAACAGGATTTGTAGCATCATGGCTCATCAAATCCCTCCTTGAACATGGCTATTCAGTTAACACCACTGTTAGGCCTCATGCTTCAGGTTTTTTTTTCTTAATTTTTTCCCTTTTTATTACCTATTTTCATCTTTCTTTATGTGGGCTGAGCCAAGATTGAGCCTTTAGCAAGCTCAACTCTTTTATCGATAATAACGAGTCGTGCTCGTGCCTTAACCTAGCCGAGTTCTTATTTTCTAGCCTTAACCAGCCGAGGTTGTAAATTATTGCTTGCAACAGGTCTGGAGTTTGAAACTAATTATTCCATTACAAGGATGTGGAATTCTTTGATTATGGATATATAGCAAGCAAAAAGTTTGCAGTAGATATTGTGTTGTTGTGTGACTAAACTCTTTAGCATTAGCCCAGTTGCTAATCTTAAATTTGAACCTCTTTCTTATTGGAATAGATATAGATAAATTCTGTCATTTATGCTATAGATTGCTCGAAAAAATAACCATATTCATAGATTCATATAGTCAAAATTGCATTTTTAGTCATGCTCGTTTAACGTCGTAGCAATTTTAGTTCCAACAAATTTCAGTCCTTTGAAAACTGAAACTGCAACAAATTTCCATATTCCCAGATTTTCGATTAGCAATTTAAGTACTGTAATTTAAATTTTTATTGCAATTTAAGTTCTTTAAAAAATTTGTTGTAATTTAGTTTAAAGGACGAAAAGTTGAAATCTTGAGACAAAAACTGTTATGATGTTAAACCAACATGATTAAAAATGCATTTTTGCGTCATATATACTTAGCACTCACTTAGATTCTGAGAATGACAATTTACAGGCAGCAAGAAAGACATCAGCTTCCTTACAAATCTTCCAAGGGCCCCACAAAAGCTCAGCATTTTCGAAGCCGATTTGAGCTGCCCGGATAGCTTCCGGTCAGCAATCGAGGGCTGCGTGGGCGTGTTCCACGTGGCCCATCCAATGGAATTCGAAGGTAAAGAGACCGAACAATCCATAACCGAGCGGTCGGTCAGGGCAACACTAGGCATATTACAAGCGTCTCTCGACTCTAAAACCGTTAGACGGGTCGTGTACACGTCGAGCGCATCCACAGTCGTGGTTGCCCGTGAGCTCGGCTCGGGCAACTTGGTGGATGAGGAGTTTTGGAGTGATTTGGATTTTGTGAGGAGCTCGGGAGCATTCGGAGGATCGTATTGTGTTTCAAAGACGCTGACCGAGCGGGCAGCTCTCGATTTTGGCGAGAAGCACGGTTTGGAGGTCGTGAGCGTGGTCCCTAGTTGGATACACGGCCCTTTCGTGTGTCCCGATTTGCCTGGCTCCGTTAAAGCCTCTCTAGCTGTCTTTATGGGTATGTGTACTTTTGTCAATTGTTCTGTTTCGCGCTAATATAGTATCATAATCGTAAAATAAGTTACATAACCGACTATTGATGGTAATCGATAATTTGGGTTTTTATCAAGTTCGAGCTGAATTCAGGACACTAAAAAAGCTATTTTGGACATTTAGTTTTACATTTGGCTGCTTGGTTTAAGGATATGCTTTGTTCATTTAATGATCTGGTTGTGAAGGAAATGAGGGTGCATTCAAATATCATGAAAAGACACCGTTTGTGCACACGGATGATGTTGCACGAGCGCATATTTTCCTTTTCGAACACCCAAAATCCAAAGGGAGGTACATTTGCTCGGCTGTCCAAGTAACATTCGACGAATTGTGGGAACTCGTGTCAAAGAAGTATCCTGAGTTTCACATACAGAGTCGAGAGTAAGTTTACAACGATTTTTTTTTTTTTTTTGTCCTTTTAAAACCGCACGATTCTTTAATGTCACGTTGATTACGTTTTTTTTTTTTCTCTGCAGGTCTTTAGTTGGTTTGTCGTCTACTGTGGCAATCCTTTCGTCGAAGAAGCTTTTGGATGCTGGTTTTAGGTACAAATATGGGCTTGAAGAGATGTTTGATGATGCAATTGAGTGCTGCAAACAAAGGGGCTTACTCTGAATTTTTGAAATGTTTGAAGTTCTTAAAGTTCAAAAACTAATCAGGTTTGTATAGAAAAAAGGGATGTATGTAATATGATTTTCAAGGAGAAGAGGTGTGTCTGAACTGCAGTCTTCTGTTTAAGTGTTTGCCTAATGTTTACTCCAGAAACTCTCATTATGAGATAGTTTTTCTCCATAATCCTTCAATGTAATATGATGTTTTATGCAATGTTTCATTTCAAACCATTATCTAGTGATTGTGACTCATGACCAACCTACCACTATTTTTATGGAAGAGTTGATTGCAAACAAATTTTCACAGGCCTGACTTGTACAAAATTGAAATTTTTAGAGGGGGTGTCTATATGTACACCCCCTTGTGTGTAAAAAAGGGGTGTACATATAGCATTGCCCTTTGTGTAATTTATTAAAAAGGGGTGTACATATAGCATTGCCCTATATTTACCTATAGGGAAAGGTACCAAGTTTATGGGCCCCACCATGCAAATGCAACAAACCATTATTGACCAAATGCTTGATTAAATATATCATCAATTTGCCCTCAATAATTGATTAATATAATATTGGAGAATGCTATCATCCCGTTGCGGGATGGTTCCGTTGTGTTTTTAAGCGTTGGATTAACTATCCATCACTAGATTACATGTATATCTATGGCTAGAAAACACAATGGAACCATCCCGCAACGGAATAGTAGCATTCTCCTATAATATTATATATACAGCAAAGGCCAGTGAGCATAATGTTTATTATGGCTTAACACTGATAGAAGCAAAGTAATCAAAAAGAGGGCCAAAAAAAAAAAGAAAGAATAATGGATAGCAAGAAAGGTAGAGTGTGTGTGACTGGTGGAACAGGTTATCTTGGCTCATGGATGGTAAAAAGGCTTCTTGAAGATGGTTATTGTGTCAACACAACTTCAAGGCTTGATCCAGGTTCATTAATTAACATTCATTAATCTTCTTTTTGTAAAAAAGAAAATCGTATATTTATATTATGAAATGTTATACTTTGTGACCAATGGACTGTTTTAACTTGGCAGAGCGCAAAAGGGACATTAGCTTCCTAACGAACCTACCGGGCGCCTCCGAAAGGCTACAAATTTTCAACGCGGACCTCGACAAGCCCGAAACATTCAGGCCCGCCATCGAGGGATGTGTCGGGATTTTCCACGTGGCCCACCCGCTGGATTTCCAAGAATCCGAGCCCGAAGACGTGAAGATCAAACGGGTCACAACAGGCCTGCAGGGCATCCTACAGGCATGCAGCGACGCCAAGACCGTCAGGCGAGTGGTGTACACCTCCAGCCTGTCGGCCGCACTTCTAGGCTCATCACCGGGCCCATCGGGCCTGATCGACGAGAGTTCTTGGACCAATGTGGAGCTCGTGAGGAGGGAGGGGATTTTCGGTGGCCCGTATTTCGTCACCAAGACACTAGCCGAGAAAACTGCCATCGATTGCGCGGAGAAGATTGGGCTCGACATTGTTACCGTATTGCCCACTTGGATCACGGGCCCTTTTATATGCCCCCATTTGCCCGACTCGGTTTACGTGTCCATGGCCTTGATTTTCGGTGAGTCGAGCTTTTTTCACTAAAAAAAGCCTTACTTTTCACTAGACAATGTATATATCGTGGATGGTTACAGTCCCGTCACGGTATGATCTCGTTCTTTTAATACTAATCGTTGGATCTTTTAGTTTGATATGGACTTTTAGATGTAGTCAATAAATGCTTATGTGGCTTTTTTTTATTGGAGTTTTATTCGGAATAAGCATTTTATGTATATATCTAAACTTCTTTTACAACAGACGATAAGACACATTACCGGCACGTTAAGGAGACGAGTATGGTTCATGTTGACGATGTTGCAAGAGCTCATATACATTTGTTTGAGTATCCGAAGGCAAAAGGTCGATACATTTGTGCGGCTATTGAGATTACTATAGAACAATTATGTGAGTTTATTTCAGCTAGGTACCCTGAATATAAGATGCCTGATCCAGAGTAAGTTACTATCTTTTTACTTACTTATGTTCAACTTTTCGAGTTTTATATATCGGATCGCATACATTCGATACACAATGGAAGTTGAAATCACGTGTCGTTAATTACACGTGCAGATCGTGGAAGGATATAATACCACTTAAAACTTCGGGCCTGTTGACAAAGAAACTTGAGGAAACCGGGTTCGATTACGAAAACGGGCTTGCTGAAATGTTCGATGGTGCAATCAAAAGCTGCAAGGAGAAGGGCTTTCTTTAGATTTATTATTGCTAGATCGTAAATGTTATTGTTGGTAGTATCTATTATGTATGTCTTTGTTCTTTCTTCTAATGTTCTGTGTCAGTTCTGTTTCTTGCTTGTTGTAATGTTATGAGAAAGTCTCAAAAGAACAATAAATTTGTATCATCGTTTGTTTTTTTAAGTCAGTCTAATAATTAATTCGACTTTTTTTT